GCCCGTCCCGCCTGGCCTCGGTGCCTGCTGGGGCTGGGCAGCTCGCTGAGGGGCCAGCCCCGTCCCGGGACAGCTGGAGGTGTCCCAGGTTACCAGGCTGTCTCTGTCCCCCGTCCCCTTCTCCCGCGCCGCCGTGAGGGCGCAGGTAGCGGGCGCCGCCCGAGCGAGGGCACGGCCTGGGCCCGCCCGGAGCGGGGTCGCCTGTAGCGCCCCGGCGGGGAGAAGGGGTCGGTTAAACCGGGGCGGGAGCCAGGTGGGAGGCGGCAGCGCTGGGTGCGTGGGTGAGGCGGTGGGGGGGAAGGCCGGCGGCAACCGGGGCCCTCAGCGCCATCCCGCCGCTGCCCGGGGCGCTCCCGGGCACTGACGGGAGTGTTTTCCTTTCAGCAACGCTTTCCTCTCTCTCAACTGTTTTCTTAATGAGACGGGGAAGACCAAGCGGCTGATCACAGAAGGGGCACAGCGCTGCCCACTGCATAAATGTAAATCGGTGAGAAATGTTTCTCCCCAGGCTTTCCACATAGCTTAGCATGACATGAAGGTTTTCTGAATGGAAGTGTGATTTGAAAAGTGTTGGCAATATGTAAAGTTTATCACATTTATGCTATTGACAAAAGTACTGCATGTCAAACGTAACATCTCGCCAAATAAAGTGCCGTTCTGAGATGATGCAAGCTTAGAAAGTATGTTGGCCAGGCCAGCCCCAATGAGCTTACCTTATCCGTAGTGTTCATGAATGCTGTATAGGAAATCCTATGTTACAGGTTTTATTAAGCACTACAAGTGACACAGAAAAAGCCTAACTATACAACAATACAATATCTGTGTATAAATCTATTTAGGACTACTTACAAGATACAAATCTAAAGGCTGTCATGAGCATAAAGCTAACCACAGTGTTGTGTAAAATAGCTGCTTTTTACGGGCATGAGAGTAGAGATTACTGTCAACCCGCTATGAAATTGCTGTGAAAGCTAGTTAGTAGAGGCTGCTTTTCCCAAAAGTTTGGTGCTAGCAGCAAGAACACATCTCTGGAAGAGTAGAGCAGTATGTTCAGTGTCAAAGATCCTGTATGTCATCACAGACATTATCACCTTGGCTCTAAAATCTCAAGCATCAGTGAGAGCAAGCTGGCAGGTATAGAGAGAAAGGGGAAAAAAATCTCCTGTTTCCAAGCCAGATTGATGGTGACCATGTAGAGGAAATAGTATCTTAGGGATAAAACCACTAAACTGACGCATTTTATTTGTCAGATTCCCAAACCTGTCGACTGTAACAGTGCTACATTTTTTACGCAGGAATACTGTAATAAGGACAAAAATGGGGTCTACAATTGTTTAACATTAGAGGAACTGGTGTTAGAAGGCAGCAGAGACTCATTTACACAAAAGTGAAAACAAAAGGTGCAAGGTTCTCTGAGACAACAAGGTCAGAGCAAGCAAGACTACAGTGGAAGAGAGTGATCAGTCCTCAGAAATGATGCAGGAGGAACAGTATAACTCTCACTGAGTAAAGAACATAGTACTTAAAAGGAGAGGTCTTGAATACTAGCCAAAGAAATATTGGAAGAAACAGAAGAAAGCAGGCAATCCACTGTTAGGAGAAATAAATGAATATATGCAGAATACCTAGTGAATGAAATACTGCTATAATAAAAAGATACTGAGACAGATTTCAAATGATGAAAACCCTGTGTGGAGATTTAAAAAAAAGAAGTCAGCAAGCTCAAAGCAAAGATGGGAAGGTGCTAACAAGGGAGATGCAACAGAAAGACAGCATTTAAAAAAAAGGCCTCTTCAAGCCCAGTCTTATCCCAGTACCACCTATTTCGCTGACCTTGAGCAGCTGGCTGCTAAGTAGTATGGCCCAACTGGATGGTAGTTGTGTGTGTTATAGTTAAGAAACAGCAAGTAATGTTGCATTATGAGATTGTCACGTAAAAGCATATATGCCTTTATGTGAGTTTCTAGGACAGATAAGTGACTTCAAAGTAGCATTGAGCTGGAGCAAAAGTAAGATCAGCCACTGATGTTCTCTGGTGCTCGTTGCTACCATAATTGATGGCATCCATCGAAAGAGAGTCTATGAAACCGTGACGCAGACTGTGTTGCTGATACTGTTGTAGTCCATAATATCTTCAGAGAGCTACAAACTCAGAGATGGTCTTGTCTGGCAAAACAGCTGGCCAGGCAGGCTTAACATCAGTTGTGTCAAAATGTATACCTGCAGCTGCCTGTAGAGGTACTTTACCAAAAAAACACTAGTGTATGAACAACAGAGAGGTCAACCTTAATACTAGAAAGCAATTGAAAGCTGCAACAAATTAAAATTTGGCTTTTTTCACAGTAATTGATATTTAATGATTTTAGCTTTGATTTTGTTTCCTCAGTTCTCTATGGTAAAACAAGTATAACAGTATTTTCTCTTTTTACAGATAAGGAATATTTTTGTGGGAAACATTACAGTTGTATGAATTTAGTATAAAGTGCAAAGTTTCATAGGACACTGTAAAAGAAAAAATAGGGCTTAAGGAAAAGGGTGAAAAGAGTATGGAATATATCCATCATGAATGAGGCAGAAGTCCTATGGAAAACAGCATATATGTTCTTGTACTTAAAATGACTATCCTAATCATATGCATAAAAGAACCACATTAAAATTGAGCACACAACCCTAATTTTTATTTTCTAACTTCTGAATCCTTGACTTTGCAACTTCAATGGCCTTGTTACACATGATGTTGGTTTATTTGGATGTAATGAGAATATAGTTAGGGCTGCTCTAATTTTTTATACCTCAATAACTGTAGCTGTGTGTCTGCCTCAAACTATGGCTCATGTCCTGTGGTCTTATTTTATCAGAGTCCCTAAGAATGAAATTGTCTCTCTTCTTGTCTAGAAACTAAACATCTAGGTTATGTTATAGTGCCAGCTTTTCCCCCTCTGGCTTTTGAGAATTTTATGAGCTGAGGTTTGGTGATGCTTGTATAAAATTGATTCCTTTGGTGGTATTGAGTGTGTTATCCTGGGGATATTTTATTTTCTTTTGAATTAGGTAAGTATTCTATTGAGGTAACTGTTGTGATTACTACAAAATATAAAATGTGAGATCAATTTGATATATCAATCTAAATAACACTTTTTAGTCCTTACATTATTGCACTGGCTGCTGAACACTTCAAACTATAGGAAGCTTGTTCAGAAAATGATGGGTTTTCGATAGGCATGACGAAATAGCAAGCAGAGTGGTTTAAGTCTTCCACTCATGCATTAAGTATGATTTCAAACTGTGTCAATGGGTTGGATCAAAATGGATTTTATTTTAAAATAACAGGTTCTCTGCTAATACGAAGCAAACATACCAAATTTCAATTTCTATTTCATTTTCAGAAGCTGTTTGGATAATTAAATAATGAGATGGATAGTGGGCAACAGGAACAAATTTCCGCAAAGTCTAACACTTTATGACTGGCTTGGATTTTCCATTTGAGGCAACTTGTCCCTGCAGTATTTTATTGCCTTACAATCTTGCTTATATTATTTATATTATTAATGTAAAAAATCAGTGAGGTAGGAATGTTGTTGGAATACTATGTTATTATTAGGAGTGTTGTTATTTTTTTTCTTCTTTTTTTCTTTTCTTTTTTTTTTTTTTTACAGATAGAGAACTGAATCATTTGCCAGATGTGCCTTATTTCAAAGGATTACAGCTTTTTTCTTCTTTGGGGGATGTAAAAGTTTGCACAGGAGCAGGCCGTTTCTCTGGATTTGTGAAGCTTGAGCTTACAAAAAGGCTTGTGCAGCACGTTTGCACATAAAACTGCATATATGCTGTTGGACCTAAGTCAGAGGTCATCATAAAACTGCATATATGCTGTTGGACCTACAACACAGATGCACTGTGTAGTTAATTTATGCATGCAAAATTTGACTGGGACTGTAGAGGCCTCTGGTCAGTCCTGCGCTTAGGGCTTCTAGCTTCCTAAATCCTGGCAAAAGCTGTGGAAAAAAATGGTCTAAAAATAAAGCTAAAAAAATCTGTGTAATGTTTCCAATGACTGTCACCTATCCATGCATATGGGTAGAACTCCTGAGCTGAAAATGCATATGGCTTATTCTGCATTCAGAGTAGTCCTCCTTTGCTCAGATGTACACACAAACACTGGTCCAGCCCAGTTTGCAG